GCGTCTGGGTCTGAGGCAGACACGGTGAAGATGTGGGCACCTGGAGGGTTGTTCTCCTTCACAAACACCGTGTAGGAGGGTTGAGCAAAAGCAGGAGCGTTGTCGTTCACATCCCCAATGGGCACCACCAGGCTGCTGCTGGTGGACAGTGCTGGAACCCCTTGGTCCTGGGCCATCACAACCAGCTGGTATTCTGCTTCTCTTTCTCGATCCAGGGGCTCAGCCACCACCAGAGAGTAGTAATTCTTGAAGGTGGAGGTCAGCTTGAAGGGCAGCCCAGGAGGTCCCACCGAGCAATTGACTTGTCCATTTGCCCCAGAGTCTCTGTCTGATATGCTGATTAGTGCCACCACTGTCCCTGGTGGGGAGTCCTCTGGAACCGGCACTGAAAGTGACTTGAGTGACATTTCGGGGCTGTTGTCATTCACATCCAAAATCTCGATGAGAACTTTGCAATGTCCTGACAAGGGGTAACCACCTTTATCTGTTGCTTCAATTTGAATATCATATGCTATACTCTCTTCAAAATCCACATTTCTTTTCACCCTAAGTTCTCCGTTATTACCATCTATGCTAAACTTTTCCTTTATATCAGGAGCAACAAGGTTACTAAAGGAGTATGAAACCTCCTTATTAATTCCTTCATCCATATCTGTTGCCTCCAGTTTAATAATGAGTGTTCCAACTGCAGAGTTTTCCAGTAATTCGACTTTGTAAACCGACTGGTTAAATGAGGGTGGGTTGTCATTGACATCCACCACAGTGATCACAAGTAGGATGGTGCCAGTGAGTGGTGGCTGCCCACTATCTATTGCTGAAAGTAACAAGTGATGCTCAGTGGATGCTTCACGATCAAGAGGTTTCTTTAACGTCAGAACCAAAGATTTACTGTGTTCATAATTCTTTATCTCTTCCACAGAGAAATATTCATTGGGGCTCAGCTTATATGTCACCTGACCATTGATGCCAATGTCTGCATCAGAAGCTTCCTCTACTGGAAAATGGGAACCTGGAACCCTTGATTCTAGAACAGACAAATTCTGCTGTCTGACAGAAAAAACAGGGTCATTGTCATTTATGTCTGTAATCTCTACTTCCACATGAAAGACCCCCAAGGGTTTATCTACAATTACCTCTAGATGAATGGTACAGATGATGTTTTTGCCACACAGCTCCTCCCTGTCTATCCGTGAATTCACAAATAAAATCCCATTCTGCAGATTTACCTTGAAAAAGTCCCCATCTCCTTGAGATTCCATCCGGAACATCCGAGGCATGAGCTCTCCCACCTCCAGCCCCAGGTCCTGGGCAATGCGGCCCACAAAGGTGCCATGCTGGGATTCCTCCGGCACAGAATAATGGAGCTGGCCGCTCCCTATTTTCCAAGCGGTGTGGAGCAGAATCAACTGCAGCAGCTGCCTTCTTCCCATTGCAGAGTATCCACATGGAAAAATCTTCTCCAAAATAGTGTATTTAATTCATCTATTTCGTGGGATCTGTGGGTTTTTTACAAAGCTATAAACTAAAAACAGCTTAATATAGCCTAGTAACATCCCTTTTCTTCATCTAGTAACAAGAAGTAAATGATCTCTGATGACAAAGCACAGGAAGAGCCTTTTCTCCCCTCCTTTTATGCTTTGCAAGATATTTAAGTAGAGAGCGACATCATGTGTCTAGATAGGTAAGTACAGTTGCCATGTATTTTGGCTATAGAACTTTTTTTAAACTCCAGTTGATGTCATCAGTTTTAATTCATATTAAATGATAATCACGACAACATATTTATTGGGAAATGTCTTCAAATTATTCGTTATTTACATTTACATGAAGAAGTTACCATGATCACTTCATTTAATGCATTATGCACCCAGCAGCTTCTATCTTGTAATGTCATTGGCAGGAATAATATCATTGATAGTTTTCACATTTATTTAAGAATGTGAAAAGTTTATTTTGTTTGAGTAATCTCCATCACCGAAAAAGTGCTGATGGGGACAGGATTTTCTATCCTATCCTCAAGATCTTGAGATAAAGAACACTGTCTCTGGCATTGTTTTGCATCTTTGATTAATTAATTTTAAAAACAGATCCATAATCCTATAAATCAAATTTGAGACTGAGAATAAAGAATGTATAATCATGGAAAGTAGAGGGAAGAAGGCTGAGGTATGTGAGAAAGAAGCTCTGTGGAAATTGATCCACATCATTGTTCCAATTTCTACATATTTTTCAGCTGGGGACTGTGTAAGCATTTAGATTAACTTTTACATGTATTTTAAGATACACCATAGGTGTCTCCCTAGATTGATGGGCCCAGAGTGGGTGTGGTTACAGAATGCAAAGAGAAATAATTTAGAAAGAACAGTCTCTTAAGATCTGAGACATTACACCCTCATCTTAATTTTTCATATTTTATTTACAATTTCCGTTTGATTGATATGTGTAGGTTTAAAAATTCTTAGGAAGACTTTTTCTCAGAATTCATATTCCATGGCTTGTGAAGTCAATAAAACACCATCCATATAGCTCATAAGAAATATAGAGGAATTCAGTCCATTCCTCCAAAAGCAGGAGAAATACATGTTATAGGAAATCTGCAAAATTAATTCAAGATCTTCACCATGTTAAGTGTTAACATTTAATGTGTGGTAATGTTGGCAATCCCAAATGTCTGTTACCTCTACCCAGATATATAGATATAGAAGAAGATGTAGATATATAACATAGAGCACTGCACAGGTCAATAATTTGTTTGTTATTCAAAAGGATGTGTGAAACAAAGACAATCTAATTCTTTTTTGCCTGATACACTCTAATTCTTTGTCAGTGGTTCCCTTATGATCACCATGTTCAAAACAGAAGTAAATACTCATACCTAATGTAATTGCTCTGTTCTTACGTAGTACTACTTCATAGCTGAAGTAAAATAAAAAAAATCATCTCATAATAAAACCTATAAGTTTGGAAAATACAAAGCTACATCCTCCTACAACGTAGCTCTTGGTTACTGCATTCAACAGTATGACAGGAATACCATGTTGAACTGAGGAAATCTTATTTCTTCTCTCTAAATCCAGCAGACTCGCCTAAATTCAGAAGGAAACATAAATGCATGAAATCCAGAGTGATCGCGTGGTGTAGGGGCACTCATCTGCTGGGTATGTTGCTGTCAATTCTCAAAAGACTGAATCACTGCCCCCACAGTGATCCTAGTGTGCATAGCATGGCATGGCAACTTTAATCTGATGGGCCATAACTGACATTGTACTGAACCCATATGTTTGTTTGGGAAAATGTCTCATCAATGTCAATGCCTGAAATGCAGTAGTAAGCCACAACTAGACTAGGTCCATTCAACCAGTGGGGGTTTGATGAGTCAACACCTATGTAAGTTCCATTGATTTAATAAGCCTGTTCTAGTTGCAGTTCTTTTTACGGGATTTTGGCCATCAAAACTCAATGTGTGAAGTTGATGTGTACTTTTTCTGGCAAAATGCAGTGGCCTAGTACTCAGCCTAAGACTGCCAAATAGAAATGAATAGTCTTCAGACTGACAGTAATGCAAGAGGGGGGGAAATTATTTCCTGAGGAGGCCATTTTTGGATCATGCTGAAGAAAGTCTTTGAAGAGTTATTATGCAAGTGCCTAGAGCTGCCTTCTGGATCTCTCAGTAAAGTGGAGGAGCAAGAAGAAACAAGAAAGAGGGAAGGAAGACTAAGACTACCAATCTGTAGAAAAGACAGAAGGGGCAAAACACAGTCCAGCTCCCTGCCTGTTGCACCACTACTTGCTACATGTATTAGCACTGTCATCCAACACTGTACAAGGGCACAAAATGAGATTGGTTTTTTACTAATATCCTTCATGAACAGCATTTCTTAAATTGTATCAAGGACTTGTGCTACCTTTTTTCAAACACTGTGAAGTTTACATAGTCAAATATCTTTTTTCATCTCAAACTTTTTTTCAAATTAAGTTTTCTCATCGTTTTTGAAAGGCTTGTTTCAGACTGTGAGACATGCCCAAATGAGAAAAATCTAAAGTAACATAAACTTGTACAAAGAACATTCAAGGAGACAATTAAGGATGGAGAAAAGGATTGGAGGAGCACAGTGCTAATAGCATCCGGTCCATTTAGAAAAGAAGTTTCCCAGTACACTCAGAGCAGAAAATCAGTTATGAAGGCAGTTGAAACATTGAAAGATTGCAGGGATACCGAAATTATTCAAAAGATGCTTTAATTATTTTCATCTCTCTTCTTTGCTGAAGATACAAGGCAGATATTTTCGCTGAACTGAAGTGAAATTTTCAAGAGGGTAGAATAAGGAGCTTTAAAATTTCCTTGCAAGTGTCAAAAATACATAGACAATAGTGGTCTGGTAGTCATTGTTTACTAGGACTTCAAAAATTCTTTTTACAATGACTCTTCTTTTTACAACAGATGACTTTTGAGCAATCATCACAGCAGTCATGAGATCATGGGATACATTGTCTTATGGGTTGGAAACTGGTTAAAGATCCAGAGGCAGAAATTATGGAAACATCCACAGCTAGATATTTAATTGCTGAGTTATTCAGTCTTTTCAAGTAGCACTTTATTAAATTGTGGAATTTCCTATAGCTAGAAGCAATGATAATGCCCAGCCTGAACAGCTTTAAAGAGGACTGGACTGATTCATAGTTGGAGTATCAACGTCTACTAGTTGTGATAGATATATGTCCCTCTTTGGAACCAGGGGCAGTAGACCTCAGTATAACAGTTGTTCAGAACAAAGCATGAATAAGACGGGTGCTTCTGTTAACATTTCAGCAGATTTATAACACCCCTTTTATTTACTGCTAATGCTATGGTAGGTCTCTGCTTTAATGGAGAATGGGAAATAAACCTTCTGATCCACAACATTTCAAACAGCAATTACAATAAGGCATTCACTTAGTCATCTTGTATGTGTTTACTTACATGACCACGGAAACTGTCTTCGGATAAATGCTGGTTCTATGGTTTGGAAACGGGAATGAGCACCATGCCCTAGAGTCGGACATGACTGGAGTAAATGTCAAGGGGAATCTTTACCTATGTGTTTACTTAGTCCCACAGTAAATGTCAAGGGGAATCTTTACCTATGAGCTTACTTAGTCCCATTGGGTTCAGTGATTCTCCTAAGTGTGTGCAAATGGGAGTGGGTTGTCAAATAGGCAATTGAAACGGAAAAGTCTATTTCGACCTGCTTCCAGTCAATGGACATGGGGGGTTCTACTAAAAACAAAGTAGACCTCACAATTGTGTAGTCTGTTCACCCCTTCACACACTTTTTATTACTGGCCAAGAACTGTACTAACAACCTTCAGCTATGAAATGTTATGTTCTTCCCTGCCCTCACCCCCTTTTAAATTTTTCTTCAGCATGCACAAATTGGCTAACATCCAAGCAGATCTGGTTAACTACAATTAATTGGCTTGGGAAATGAATAATTTCTTTACTTGATGACATGCACTTTGTATGGTATGATTCATTTTGATTCATTTTAAAATACATCAATTGTCCTGATTCCTGAAAGACAGCAAGGGCACTCTACAAATGAGAGAAACTCATAAACAAAAGAGACAAGGAAGCAAAAATATGCTAAAAACAATTACCAGTGCAGTTTTATATTTTCATGTTGAGAAAATTAACATATTACGTGAAAAGCATTGAACCCTGTAGTTAAAGCTCTTAGAAGAACTCACCTGTCCAGATGAATCTTGGATTAGCTCCTTCATATTTCCTACCTCCCCATGTTCTGCAAAAACAGGGATGTTGGGGCTGAAAACCATGAGATCACTTTTGGCACCAGATTCCGCTGCCACACCTGCTAAGATGTGGCTGTGACGATTGGAATAGGACCAGCTTCCCACTTCACTGGCACAAACCAATGTGGCTGTTCCAGGACCATACACCATGGATTCCTTGGCCTGACAATGACATCTCAAAGCCACATACATAATGATGGCCAGCAAGAACAAGCTGGATACTGAGCAGATAGCTATGATAAGATAGACATTGACGTTGTCCACCAGCGGTTTTGGGCTCCCTCCAGATCCAGAAAACCGAGTTTCAGCCTGAATGGCCAGGGCATTGGCTACAAGTGAAATGCTCAATGTCGCGGTGGCTGACAGAGCTGGCTTCCCATGGTCCTTCACCAGCACTAGCAAACTATGGCTGTTGCTGCTCTCTGCCTCCTCCAAGGCACGGGCTGTGCTGATCTCACCACTGTACAGGCCCACCCGCCAAGGCCCATCCGTCCCATCAGGCAGCTCATAGCGCAGCCATGCATTGTAGCCTGAATCAGCATCCAGGGCACGGATCTTCCCCACCATGTGCCCAGCTGTGATGGGAACCACCACCCGGGTGGGCGTCTCCTCTGCTGGCACGGTCACTGCAGGCGCATTGTCGTTCTCATCCACCACAAAGACTTGCACGGTCACATTGCCACACAGTGAAGGCATCCCGGCATCCTTGGCTCTCACCTGGAACTCCAGCAGCTTCAGCACCTCATAGTCCAAGGACTGCAAGGCGTAGAGCTTCCCACTCTCGGAGTGCACAGAGATGTAGCTGGACAGAGACCAGAG